ATGCTTAGAGGCATTTGTTCCGCTATTAACGCAAGACCTCGCCCTTCCAGTTGTAGTGCACAATTTCGCTTACATACGTAATGGTGGCCAGTTTTGGAGGATTCTGGAAGCAGTCATTTGTGCGACTGCAGAACTGTTATATCGAATAAAGGAAGTATTAAACCCGAGATTAAAACTGCGTTCAAAAAATTTGAGGTAATGAACTGAGATTTATGAAAATTTGAGAACTGTACTTTTAAAGACGTTCGGGAAAATAAGCTCGAAATAACCAGTTGAATATTTCGCCCAACTGCATCAAGACGACTTGGTTAATCGTTTATATTCCACATTCGTACGTTTTTACACAGTATAGCTCTAGAACAGACAAATAGAACATATTCAACTGACACAAACAATCCTTACCTCGGTTTCTTTCCAAATACACCTCAGAAGGAAGAGCAAAGTCCACGGTACATCAACAGTATAATGTGACTTAACGTATGACTTGATCACGAAATGTTTGGAGGTAAGATAACTGCACTTGCACGGGTACTGTCGGGCACAGAAAGTAGGTGTTACGCGCCCGGGCGACCCGAAACGGTTAATGGTGGAACGATGGAACGATGGAACGATGGAACGATGGAACGATGGAACGATGGAACGATGGAACGATGGAATAGAATATGGAGCGATGGAACGATGGAACGATGGAATGATGGAATGACGGAATGATGGAATGACGGAATGATGGAATGACGGAATGATGGAATGATGGAATGATGGAATGACGGAATGATGGAATGACGGAATGACGGAATGATGGAATGATGGAATGATGGAATGATGGAATGATGGAATGACGGAATGATGGAATGACGGAATGACGAAATGACGAAATGACGAAATGACGAAATGACGAAATGACGAAATGATGGAATGGTGGAACGGAGGATTGACGGAACCGCGGAAAATCATCCAAAATCCTAAACGATGGAATGACGGAACGGCGGAAAATCACTCGAGAATGACGGAACAGCTGAAAATCACCCCAAATCCTAAAAAGAGCGAACGGCGGAAAGTCACATCAAATCCTAAAAGATGGAACTATAATCCCGTCTTAGGATAAAGACAAATGTTAAGTCCAATACTTTCTAACTTTGATACATTAAAGGGGGAGGAGTTGGGGGAAGTAAACAAAAAAAAGAAACTGTAAAACAAAATCTCACTGAAGGGCACAGGTTTGTGAAACATCGCACCCCCCCTCTACCCGCCCCGCAGAAAAAGCGTTGAATAATTTATTATTTAACGAATAATTTCTTGTTATCCTATAGATTTCAACCACTGAGCACTGATTCTCGTGTAGCATTCGCATAATACAGTGGAAAAAAGTGACAAAATCTTCTGGTTGTGTACATAAGTTAGAGTGAGATTAAAGTCAATCTCCATATGAAACGTTATTTCTGTCACGCCATCACGTAGATAAAATTTGCGACAAATCGCACCAAATGCTAAAAACCACAGAACGGCGCAAAATCACCCAAAATCCTAAGAGACAGACAGGCGTGAAATCGCTGTATTTTACAAAATATACATTTTCTTGAAACATCATTCAAAATAGATCAAAATAAAAATGCAAAGACTCTCGCCAAGATTCTGGTCACAGCAATTTTTCTTATGCAAGATATGCGGAGAAATTTTTT